CATATGTTATAGGTTCTCCAAAGCACCATTTATGAGGTTGACCTAGACCGAATTCTTCAAAGCATTCACATATACCTACAAGATCTTGGTATGGAAGAAATCAGGAGGAGGTATGTACAGACTTAGTAAATAGATTGCATGATATTCTTGTTTGTCTGGAATTTTGGTATTTCTTGCTGAATGCTTGACTCTCCTTCATTAATTAAATATTTTCTTCGGTTTTTGGTTTGATGGATTACTCAGAGCTGGAGCTGATGACAAACCATTACGAATGGTAAAAACAGTTCTACACGAACTTGTTAAGCTTCGTGGTACTGCCATAAAGGGTCACCTTTCCATGGTTCCAATTGATATGCAACCACCACCTATTATTCTTGCATACATTGACCTTAACCTTCAGGTAGTGTGCTTGCCGCATATTTTAGCTCTTTATTTTGTAAACATCTGCTATATAGAATATTTCTCATAGTGTTTAATTTTGACAGACATTGGCAGCTGCAAGAATGTTAACCCCTTCTGTACCTGGCCAAACGCATTGGGGTGATTCCACTGCCAACAATCCAGCACCTACAACACATTCTGATGCACAATTGAAGGTGTGTTTGTTTATTCTTTCAAATAATTTTCTGGCTGCAAAGTTTTTTCCATAGTTGTTTCAGTTTGACTTAATCTTTACATGCAATCTCCACCTTGCGGAACAAACATAATTATATTATTTTGCTCTCCTTGCAGCAAGAATTGGCTGCAATATTCAAGAAGATTGGTGACAAGCAAACGTGTAAGATTGGTCTCTCTGAGTTATATCGAATCACACAATTATATCCCAAGGTAATATGCTTCTGGATCATACAAAGTTTTTTAATTTAAAAAAAAATGAAAAAAAAAACTCGTGTTAGTCTATGTTATGGAATGTATATATATTAGGTAGCATGGAGATTTAACGGGATTTGAGTAGGTGGTCACAAGGGAAGAATTGGTCTTGTTTCCTCGTAGAAGTCTTCTAGCATGTATATATATGGGTGTATTCTCTCTACTTTTACAGTCACAAGGGAAGAATTGGTCTTGTTTCCTCGTAGAAGTCTTCTAGCATGTATATATATGGGTGTATTCTCTCTACTTTTACAGTCTATTAATGACGGCTTTATGATGCTTTCCAGGTTGACATATTTGCTCAGCTGCAGAATGCAAGTGAAGCATTTCGGACTTATATTAGAGATGGTTTGGCCCAGGTGGGCAGTGTTTCTTATTATAACACTAGCTTATACATTCAACAAAGATAATTCAGTATGACAAAATTGTTGTTATGTATATTTCAGATGGAGAAGAATGCAGCAGCTGGAAGGACTCCGTCCAGTGTTCCTATGCCAACACCTCCACCATCTGCATTAGACCTATCTTCCCCCAAATTCGGCCCTCTATCCCCTGTAAATACAAACCCATCTAATGATACAAAGCCCGTGAACTCTAAAGTAGAGCCCACACACTTCAGTCTTCCACCATCATATGCTGATGATGAAAGGTCTAGTAATACAGTCCTTTCAAGGGGTTCAGTGTTGGATCAATCAGAATTGCGGCAGCAGCTAGGAGAACAAAGAATTGAGAGATTGCCATCAGGAGGTAATACTTGCACAGTTGCACTGCCACCTTTTTTCTGTATAGCTTTTGCTATCCTTTTAACGGAAAAAGGAAAGATAATGAGTTATGTCCAATGTGGCAAATGCAGTTACTGGTGGAACTTTGGAAGCTATCAGGGAAAGGATGAAAAGCATCCAATTAGCAGCATCTACGGGCATTCCAGATCCTGGAAACAGGCCATTGATGTCCACGAACGGGGGCATCAACCATGGAATCTCAATCCCAACCCAACATTCTTCTGCATCTGAACAACACAGTGTGAGTGAGAATCCTCCTCCCCCACAGAGCGGAATCCTTCCAATGGACGAAAAGGCACTCTCAGGGCTTCAGGCACGCATGGAAAGGCTTAAAAGTGGGTCTCTTGAACCACTTTAGAGAAGAAGGTCCCAGTATAATAGCAATCTTTAAATCCCGGTTTTATTGGTTTGTACATCATTCAGATCCCTTCGGCATGTCCGGATAGAAGGTGGAAGTTTGTGATGTATTGATTTCACTACGGAGTAGGGTAGTTCTTAATGTTTAGTAGGATTAATTGTATATTTTAGGGTTTCATCTGATTTTTCATTGGTTCCTAACATTCAAATCTCTTCTAATTAAACCTCTTCAAAATGGTCACTGTGAATCTTGATATCCAGTTTTGCAATGAATTCAAAATTTACTACTAAGATGCTTGTGTATTCTTCAGGAAGCAACTCTACATTTGAAGGCTATGGCTTAGCCTAGGAGATTGGAGTTCTTCGCTCATATCGTTTTGTTTTGGTAAAAACGTTTGACATTGATCATGAATGAAGAGTTGGGATACTGCCTTCACGTGTTTTGCTTGATTATCTGTTGCGGGTTTATTTGTGTGAATTTGTTTCTGACCCTTGTGCACAAGACCATTGTGCACAATTTCCACCCTTCACTTGCAATCCGAATATGTGTATTAAGCATATATATCACACAAGTAATAGATTTAGAAGTATAAAATTCACCTATCAAGGGAAGAAGGATCAAATATGCCCTTAGGACGGCTTACATGACTGTTTTTCCTAAATAATATATAGGTCCCACTAACTAGGCCGGAAAGTTTGACACTAACATAAGCGTTGATTTGGGTCTTGAAACAACTATTTGTGCGTAAGTATCTTGGATACAGCTCCGAAATGGAAGCTTCATTCATCGTAAATTGTTGGTGGATTAGGTGCCCTCCATGGAGCAGAATTTGTATTGAGCATCACCACAACATCCGCCATTCTTGGCCTTTCATCCATACCATCTTGGAGACATGGATACATTGCATCACTTCATTTCTCCAATACAAACCTCCAAGACTTTGATCCACCATGTCCAAGCCTGCAACATTAATTAAAATATAATTTGCTTTAAAATAAACTCACATATCTCAGAACATCTTGAGCTTCAGTTGATTGCATGGACAAACAACTGATTTTCTTCATAGAGATCACGACATGCAAACATTGCAAAGTATATTCGGAAGATATGTCGTAACCACTACTGAAAATCATAACATTAATAAAGGATTTAATTAAACAAGAACAACTACAGTTCTTAATGGTACTTCTAGAGATGAACAATTAGAATTCATTAGTCTAAAATCAAAATCCAATGTTGCACTTTGAAAGATTATACTTTAATTTGCCGCCATATCTATCTTCGCCAATCTTATTATTAGGGGAGAAGCAATTTGTGAAAGCTTCAATAATACTAAAATCACTGATTACATACAAAATGACTTTCTCAAAAAGCTGATTGAAAAAATTACTTTGAGCAGCTTTTTGAATTTTAACATTTTGGAGCAATAAGTTGTTACAAAAAGCTAATTAATCAAACACCTCATATTGATTGTTTAACTAAGTCAAACAGTTAATAGTGATCAAATAAGTTAAAATTGGCTGAAAGGCTAACTATTTTACCAAAGAGGGCTATATATATGAGTTCTACTATATGAACTCCCAAATTTTACTCCCTAAATTTTACTTCCTGACGTGACGAACACTAATAAGCTACTCTTTTCATGTGGGTCCCAATACAATTGTCTACATTATGATTTTGTATGTGAAAATAAAAGTTGGGACTAGAAAATCATAAATTTATTCATGTAAAATGGTGATTATTCCAACACAACCATAAACCGGATCTTGAATCCGACAATGCGCCTCGTAGTACAAGAATTCTACAACATCACCTCGCTCATGCTCTTCCATTTTCTCCATGTTTTTATTCATAACAACAATAAATTAACAACTCCTTATGCAAATTAACAACTTTCTGAATCAACTATACACCGACACCCACCCCCCCCCCCCCAATATATATCCCGTGCACACCTTTTAGTGAATAGTTGTGAGTTTTCCTTGTTACACAAAAACTTTTGCGTGGGTAGATGTGATTCGTGAGCTATTATAAAGAAGTGAGCGTGTACACCCTCAATAGTAGATGCAGGTTTCCTTTGCCACCCAAAAATAAAAATAGAAAAACAAGGAGGATACAAACTTGTAACCACAAAGCCACGAGTTCGAATTCCAGCCTTTTTGGTTTAAGCCGGTCAGCTATGGGATCCTTTGTCGACATGGGATTTACCCAGCACACACATCACCCTCGGGTAGTGACTGCGGGTTTCCCTCGTGACCCCAAAAAATAAAAACAAGAGAATGAGAGTTTTTGTTTGAAATTTTTAAGGTTTTTGATGACACACACATATCTATACTATTAATAAAAACAAAATTCTGTAATACAATTCCTAATAGAATATATTGTTTCATACTTTCCTATTCATACTACAATTCTACATTAAAATTCCTATTCTAACCAATCAATCAATACTATTATTAAAAACAAAATCCTGCCTGCATGAGTAGCTCAACTGGTCATAGAGGTGAAACTTTGGAAGAATGACTAGGGATTGAGTCTCACCAGCGGCAATCAATCATTTGGAGGACCATATATATATATATATATATATATATATAATTCTCTCACTCATTGAAGGAGGGTCACATATCCACCATGCGAGGTATCACAAGCTATAACACAAACAAACTCCACCAACCAGTCATACATACATAATTCATTCTCTCTTCACCTCCGCCTATATCTAGGAGACACCATTCTTCTATTCCTTTCTCTTTCCTCCTTAAACATGCGTATATTTCATCAAACCATTCATATACAACCCCCACAAAAATCCCATAAACATTATCCAAATTAAACCACACAAATATACATTTCCCCCTTTCAGTCTTTCCCTCTGTTCAAATCATAGGAAAACACCGAGGGGCAAGAAAAACCAAGAAAAAGAAGGAAACAGGCCGGCTGGAGAGATAGTAATCATCATTATTTCATATTTTTATCTGTATCTTTGGGTGTAGAAATGATGAGATTAAACCATGCATCTTGATGGATTGATATGTAGATACTGATATGTGTGTGTGTGTGTAGAGAGAGAGAGAAGAAATGAGAATGATGAATTTGGAGAAGAATGAGAATGATAGAGGTAAGATATACAAGAACATTGATCATGATGAAGAAAAATATGAAGAAAGGATTAATGGAGTTCTGCATGAAGAGAAGGGAATTAACAGCAGCAAGAAATATGTGTTTGCCTGTGCCATCTTTGCTTCTCTAAATTGTGTTCTTCTTGGATATGGTTAGTCTCCCCCCCCCCCCCTTCTCTCTCTCTCTATATATATATATAGAATTACATTCATGTAAAAACAGAGCTTAAAATACAAACGTGTGGATATTTTTAGATAGTTGGATTTTGGATATCTAAGGTTGTGATTAATTTTTATGATTTTCTGTGTTGTCCGCCTATGTGCACTGTCGTTCATAGACGTGTGCACACTGGCCCAAATACTGTCATACTACCTTGGATGTGTATTGGCGTCCTCCGATGTGTGCACACCCGCATTTAGGTGTGTGCACGGTATATGTCCACATGTTTGTATTTTAAGGGTGTTTGCATGTGAATGCAACCCTCTATATATATATATATATATATATATATATATATATATAGAGTATGTATGTTCATGTAGCTTGTATTGAAATGAGACATGTAACTGTACAGATATTGGTGTTATGAGTGGAGCCATTATTTTCATACAAGAAGATCTAAAGATCACAGAGGTGCAAGAAGAAGTTTTTGTAGGAATCCTTAGTATAATTTCTCTTTTAGGGAGCTTAGCAGGAGGAAGGACTTCAGATGCCATAGGCAGAAGGTGGACAATGGCATTTGCAGCCATTGTGTTTCAATCTGGGGCAGCCATAATGGCTCTGGCAACCACTTTTGGAGTGTTAATGGTGGGCAGATTCCTAGCGGGGATCGGAATAGGCTTCGGGATCATGATTGCCCCGGTCTACATTGCAGAGATTTCGCCCGCGATTGAGAGGGGATCATTCACTTCACTCCCAGAGATTTTCACAAATTTGGGGATTCTTCTTGGGTATGTCTCAAACTATGTGTTTTCTGGGCTGCCTGCACATATAAGCTGGAGGGTGATGCTGGGTGTGGGGATTGTTCCTTCGGTTTTGGTGGGGTTTTCGCTGTGCATAATCCCGGAATCCCCGCGGTGGCTGGTGATGCAAAACCGGGTGGAGGAAGCCCGGGAGGTGCTGCTAAGGACTAATGGGAATGCGGGTGAGGTTGAGGAGAGGTTGGGGGATATTCTCCGGGCAGCCGGGGGGAAAAACGAGGGGAAAAGTGTGTGGTTTGAGCTGATGAAGCCCTCGCCCGGGGTGCGAAGAATGCTGGTCACGGGGTGTGGGATTCAGGTTTTTCAGCAGATCACAGGGATTGATGCCACAGTTTATTACAGCCCCACAATCTTCAAAGATGCAGGAATGGCTAACAATCCCAGCAGGCTCCTGGCTGCAACTATGGCTGTTGGGTTCACCAAAACTCTCTTCATTTTGATTGCCATTTTCCTGATTGATAAAGTGGGGAGAAAGCCCCTGCTCTACATTAGCACAATTGGAATGACTTTTTGCCTGTTTGGTTTAGGAATCACACTTTCCTTACCCAAAAACTATGCTCAAATCAGCCTGGCAATCCTGTTGGTGTGTGGGAATGTGGCATTTTTTTCTGTGGGGATTGGGCCTATATGTTGGGTTCTGTCCTCCGAGATCTTCCCGTTGAGGCTGAGGGCTCAGGCAGCCGCCCTCGGGGCGGTGGGGAGTAGAGTTAGCAGTGGGGTGGTTGCCATGTCTTTCCTGTCTGTGTCTCATGCCATTACAGTGGGAGGGACATTTCTGGTGTTTGCTGCCATATCCGCTGCCTCTATCGTGTTCGTGCACAAATGCTGCCCCGAAACGAAGGGGAAATCGTTGGAACAGATCGAAATGATGTTCCAGAATGATGGGCAGTGGCTGGATGGTGGAGTGGAGCTTGAAGATGCTCAGCATCTCATGCACAACACAGGCAAATGATGATGAGTAATAAGAGTTGCAGAAGAAACCAGATAGTAGAGAAATTAAGTGAAATTTTGTAAGATTTCTAGTGTAAAGGTGTGCTGATCTTTTTTTTTTTGTTTTCTAGTACTTATATGTAACACTTAAGATTAGATGCTTGCGTATAGATTTTAGTTCAACATACATGGTGGGTAGATGAAAATTGTGGGTATCTAGATTTACCTCTCATGTAATACCTAGGAGTTTAAGTAGCTTGCCCGTTTAGAGTTAGGGTGATCATAATAACCAAAAAAATCGACAAAACCGATAACCGATAATCGAATCGACCGATAATTTCGATTATCGGTCGGTTATTCGGTTACCGAAATAATCGGTTTCAGTCGGTTTAAAGTGTATGTTCGATCGGTTATGGAGATTTAAAAAATGTAATTGATTATTCGGTTATTAACTGTAATGAATCAATGCTCACCCCTATTTGGAGGTTATTGATTGATTATTAACTGTAACGGATCAATGCTCACCCCTATTTAGAGTTGACGAAATTCAACATTTTTCACCCAGAAACATAAAGCAGAAAAAGAATCAAACTTTTGTATGAAATACATAGAATAATCTAAGCTTTCAAAAAAACATAGAATAATCTAAAGTAATTTTTGCAATATAATATTCAATGAGTTGATGAATTCACATAGATCAAGAGTTGATTTTGTCATTTTTAGTCTTATGAGTTATCATTAATTATTTATTGACTTTTGATATTTTTAGAAATCTTACAAAGTTTCACTTAATTTTGTCACATTACCCTTATATAGATTAAGAGTTTTTTTTCTTTTTTTTTTTTTTTTTTGCATTTTTAGTCTTGTGAGTTTAGTGTCATTCCCATCACTAATATAAACACAAATTTCTACTTTATCTTCACTCTCGATCTTTTCGGTAAAAAATTAGATAAAATCTTACAAATTTTTTTGTCAAAACTTGTAAGTATCCAAAATTTATATGTAAAAATTACATTTTTTTTACAAGAATACGTCTTGTGAATAGAAAATTTACATATAAACTTTGATTACTCACAAACATGTGACACTTGGATGATATTTTACCAAAGGAACCAAAAGAAAAAAAAAATATTAGGTAATCATATAGTTAAAAGTGCTGAGTCCTAACAAGAACAAAGGAATTATTAATTTTCTTGATTTGAATTGAAAATAAGTTAGATTTACCACTCACCCAAAAGCAAGAGAAAGAGATTTGACTATTTGAGCTTATCAGCTTCACTTTCAAAAGCAAGAAAAAAGAACAAGGTGTCTTTTTCTGGGCGATTTTGCCGGTGAGGAAGGATTTGAACATGGGTTCCCTGAAAAGGAAATGTCTAACATGGGTTACAAAAGAGGGAAATTGTCTTTCCCTTAGGCGATATTGTGCTTTTCGTATGTCGCCTAAGGGAAAGTTGATATAGCATGTGTATTTCTCAAATACGTTGAACCACCGTATTTGTACAGTATTTACGTATTAACATCGTATTTACTTAAAAACCAACATATTTACTTATAAAACAACATATTTATAGTTGTAAATTAACGTATTTACGTTTGAACGATCGTATTACAATTTTGTTAGAAAAAAAAATTGCAGAATAAACCTTAAATAAATTAAGGTGTTTGGTTATTTTGTTGATTTGATGTTAATTAGTAGAAGGACGAATAAATAATTGATGCAAACTCCTCAAATAATTTAGCTATTGTGATTGATGTTGTTAAACTAAAAAATATTGCAGTAGAGAAATTAATTATCGAATATTCAAGCTACAATAAAATTTACAGCCATTGACGGGTGTTATTCATATAAGAAAAAAAAACTTGGTCGTCGTCGTCTGTTGGGTTCATCGGCTGTCCCATGTTCAAACCACCCTGAGCAGATGATTCCCCAATTTCACAAAACTGAGTTGGGTGGTAGGGTGATGCGTTATAGCCGTGTGGGTAATATTGGGCTTGCGGATAAGTAGAAGAGGAGGGTTGGGTGGGGTCAAAAATTTGGGAAAACGATCCCTGCGACTGGTGCGGGAATTGAGCGGGTTGATCAAATGAAGTGTATCCACCCGTTTGAAACGCGCCGCTACCGTGCCCCGGGACAATTGTAAGGGCAAGTACATCCACATCGCCCCCTACAACATTGTCCGCCGCAGCCGGATGTTGCATTCCAGGTCCGGGAGCATCCATGCTTTCACGTACCCTAACACGCCTTTGCCTCCCGCCCTATTGCGGTTGACCACGCAAATGGTCCTGCTCACGTCGTCGATCTCGGCGAGCAGGACCAACGGGTGCGTCCACTGGCTCCACGTTGTACATTTCATTTGGGAAGTCCAGTAGAAAACCGTACCCGGCTTGTTCAACATGCGCAGGCAAGGCCACACGGTATTGCCGCCACCAGTCCGATTGACGCTGCGGATCATCGCCAGCCTCTTCCATTCCCAAGTTCATTTGGCTGAGAAAATGCATCTAGAAATAATAAAACGATTATTAATGTTCAGTTATAATAAATAAAGTAATATAATAAAATTAAGTAACAAATTATACCGTGTCATTTAATGATGCCGCAGTTTGGATGTAACCCTGATCTTGGTGGTGTTGTGGGTTACCAATAAGGCGACGACCATGCGCGTGGAACCATAACCTGTATTCGCGCGTTGCATCTGGGTTGTCCATCACGAACATTGCGAATACATATTGGTGGCGATGGTTCCACCTATTGATATATGGCGCGATAATTTGCGCTGCATTATTTGTCCGACCGTCAATAGCGTGCAATTGCTGGTTGTATTGCACGGGGGGCGGGACATTTTGTTGAGCACCATACTGCCTGCAAAAGCGTGAGGGGAAATACTCTTCAACAATATAGCCGAAAATCAACGCGACTTCGGCAATCCATATATCTTCCCCAGCTCTGCAATAATCGGGCAAGTGGTGCAAAAGTATACGGTAGGGTTGGAAGACAAACTGCACAAAACAATAGTAGTTATTTGATTATAGTCCTTATCACTGTACATTATTGTACATATAAAAATTCAAACTTTTCAAATAATAAAATAACTTACACTATCAGTTTGGACGCGATCTAATTGGTCGCGATATGCACGAACCACGTGGTTCGGTACAGTTGCCCAATCATGTGGTCCTCCCCACCTACAATTGCATTTGGAAGAGGAATTAAATAAGTACAAGAATAGTATACTGTTTTCAAACGAAGTTTTGGCAATGAATTAATATTTATACTAACCGTGCTGCAAGTGGCAAGTCTTGTCCGACATGTGCGGGTAGAATGCCCTGAGGTCGTACCATTGGCAGCCTCTCCAACGCCCAAATCTGCAAAAGGAGTAGACACCCGCACACATGAGATCTGCCGTGCTCCGAAGTACAGCACAGAGCTCTATACAGAAAGGCCAAAACAGCTGATCCCCAGCTGTAATGACCACAGACTTCGAAATCTTCCAGATACGGCAGCAAGTTAAGATTTAACAAGATGTTAGTGTTGTCTGGGAAAAGAAACCCCCCTAGCAGGCGTATTAAATACGCGCGCGTTGCAAACGCAACATCATCTTCGGTGCTCGCGTCTGTCAACTCGGGAATGTTCGGGAGCAGCAGCATACTTATTTTTTGGCCCTTGAAATCTGTATTGTTAGGAGAGAAACGCAACAATTCGTTGCACAGAACCTGCCATTGTTGTTTTGTCCGTTGCTGTCCTCCCGTAACAGCCAGACCATCCACCCTTAATCCAAATAACACTTCAACATCTTGAAGTGTTATACCGACCTCACCGAATGGTAGGTGAAAGGCGTGGACCTCCGGACGCCAACGCTCAACTAGTGCCAAGATCAACGAATGATCTAACCTTACGCGGTCAATGAGCGACACACCATAAAAACCGCTCAGGCGCAAGTTTTCGATCATTCCGTGATGTCGTGGTTCAGGCAAAGTCCCGTCATAGCGACAACACTTAATATGTGCATTGTTTGCCACATCGACATCTGTCCAAATTGATCGTGAACGGTGACTGTGTTGCATTGTAAGCACAGAACTGTCGATTGGACCGGGATTGACCATTCTCTGAGCCATAGCTGGTAAGATAAAATAGATTAATATTAGGACATTATTCATCAATGAACAATATGCAATTCTGTACGCGCTAAATCTTTCGGGGAAAATTAATCAATTGTAATTGATAAAAATAAAATCATGAAAAAATATTGTATTTTGGCCTAAGTTTCAGGCGAGAAAGGTTAAACATAATTTTGTATTTTTGGCCTAAACATTAGGCGAAATTCATGCAAATATTCTGGGGTGGGGAGGACTTCCATAACAAATCAAGTATTAGAAATCAAATCAACATTTCATCATTAACTAATAAAAATCAAATCAACATTTCATCATTAACTAATCACAAACCCAAATTCTTAGGCAAATATCATCACAAATCAAGTATAACAAATCAAATCAACATTTCATCATTAACTAATCACAAACATCATGTCAATTAAATTTATGAGAAAATAATCCTAGAGAAATAAAAGATATATTAATGGGAAAAGTTTTGCTAAAACATCATATGTACGACAGGAATTCAGGAATAGTGGTGGATCAATTATAATAATTTGATTTCCTAGTCTTTTTATTAAACAATGACTCGTAAAATGTGTTAGTTAGTTTTAAAAATATAAATATTAGGTATATGTTTTTAAACATCACGCATAGAAAAGACTAGTATAAATATAAAATAGGAAAAAGTTTAAAGTAGGCTCTCGAAGTTTAATGAATGGTATAATTGAGTTCCTTAATTTTTGTTTTATTTTTTTTAAGTTTTAACCAGATTTTCTAAACTAGTAAAACAGTGTAATTATTCAACTAATTAATTTTTTTTAACCAGATTTTCACCACATATAAGTCATAAATGACAGTTTAGAAACAGTTTAGCATTCTAAATAAATAATTCCAACAACAAATTCATACTTAAATGACAGTTTGTAATTGCTGAAAAAAATTTCAGGCCACATAATTATGTTTTTTTGCCTAAATCTTAGGCGAGAATAGGCAAATTATATTGTCGCCTAGCATTTAGGCGTGAAGTGGGCATAACAAATTAAATATTAAAAATCATAAACAATTCATCATTAACTAATCACAGTCCCTAATTCTTAGGCGTGAAGATAACAAATCAAATATTAAAAATCAAATCAAGATTTCATCATTCACTAATCATACAGCCAAATTCTTAGGCGTGAAAAGGACATAACAAATCAAATATTAAAAATCAAATCAAGATTTCATCATTCACTAATCATACACCCAAAATCTCCATCTTGTGAAAAGGAATAATAATAATAATAATAATAATAATAATAATAAGAATAATTAGAATATTAATTTTCAAAAATTTTACCTATTATGTATGCTTGGTGGAGGGTAGCTTCACTTTCTCTTGGTGGATGGTAGCTTCACTTTGTCTTGGTGGATGAAGAACAACAAGTAGAACAATATATGTTTATGTTTTTGTCTTCTTGTAGAGGGGAAAAATTTTCGAATGGTAAAGTTGGGAGGAATTAGGGTGAGAATTGGGGTTGGAGTGGTGAAAGTGATAGGTGTAAAAAGTGGTGAAAAGGATAGATGAAGCAAAAAGTGAGAGGGTGAGAATCTGAAGGGGATTGGGGAGAGGATATTATAGAAAGAAATAAGAGGGTGAGAATCTGAAGGGATTGGGGAGGGGATATTGTAAAAAATAAGAGGGTGAGATTCTGAAGGGGATTGGGTAGAGGAGAGATTACCAAAGCCAAAGAAACTCGCCTAACCCTTAGGCAAGTTATTTTCATTGAATAATGAAACTTGCCTAAGGCTTAGGCGAGTTATTTTAACATTACAGCTGCGTTTTTGAACTACTTTTATCTGATATGATCCATCACATATTTAATCTACTATTAAATTAAAGCTGACCAGGACTATGTGGTCTAATGGTATCCGAGTTGGACTTCCAATTGGAAGATTATGAGTTCAAGCCTCAGTGGAGGCGTTATTGGTTCTTTGTGTTTCAGTAGGTTGAGAAAGTATATGAACAGATACTACAATGTAATAGAACCAGTAGCTTTCAAAAAAAAAAAATTAAAGCTGAGTTGAATTGAATTTTGCACTGCATGTTTTTCGCCTAACAGAAAGGCAAGTTCACAATTTCTGATTTTTTTCATCTACTTTTCCACACATCACTTATTTCATCTACCTACCATTAAATTAAAGCTGCGTTTTTGAACTACTTTTATCTGATATGACCCATCACATTGTTAATCTACCATTAAATATCTAACTACCATTAAATTAAAGCTGCGTTTTTGAATTACTTTTATCTGATATGACCCATCACATATTTAATCTACCATTAAATTAAAGCTGAGTTGAATTGAATTTTGCACTGCATGTTTTTCGCCTAACAGAAAGGCAAGTTCACAATTTCTGATTTTTTCATCTACTTTTCCACCCATCACTTATTTCATCTACCTACCATTAAATTAAAGCTGCGTTTTTGAACTACTTTTATCTGATATGACCCATCACATATTTAATCTACCATTAAATATCTAACTACCATTAAATTAAAGCTGCGTTTTTGAACTACTTTTATCTGATATGACCCATCACATATTTAATCTACCATTAAATTAAAGCTGAGTTGAATTGAATTTTGCATTGCATGTTTTTCGCCTAACAGAAAGGCAAGTTCACAATTTCTGATTTTTTCATCTACTTTTCCACCCATCACTTATTTTATCTACCTACCATTAAATTAAACCTGCGTTTTTGAACTATTCGAATTCTCTGATATGACCCATCACATATTTAAGCTACCATTAAATTAAAGCTGAGTTGAATTGAATTTTGCACTGCATGTTTTTCGCCTAACAGAAAGGCAACATTAGATGGATTTGATTTCATGTATTTCGCCTAATTGAAAAGCTACATTATTCGAATTGTAATTTTTTTTTGTTTTATATTTTTTTTTTCAATTTTTGAGTTGTTATTTATTTGCAACGTCGTATATTGCAAGCAAAAATAAAAGAATGCGGTGAAATGGATGTCAAAATTGTAAACAAAAATATGCTAACATTGGAAGTTGAAAGAATTTGCTTTTTCATTTAATTTCTGCGTACAATGAGTTTAAATTTCTGCGTATACTCCGTGACCTGATGACATTGGTTTATTTATTTTAAAGATAAAATGTTAAATTTTTAACATACACACGCACGAATAATAATCATCATAACACAATTTTATTTATAATTATAGGAAGATCCAAACGCTGACAATATGCAATAACATAACTCATAATATTAGCAACGAACGACATAACATTCCAACGAACGCTGACAATTATTGCATGTATGAGTCCAATCCCGACTGGTTTTGATGGATTGTATTGTTGCCTATCTGTTAGGCGAAATAGTAGCAGGTGGAAAAAAAAAAATTTGAACTCACCATTAATTTAATGGTACATCAATTCAACTTAAATTTATTGGTAGATGAAAATTTATTGAACGGTCAAATCTGAAGTTATGGTTCGAAAATTGGATGAAAAAATTAGATATTCTAATGTTGCCTTTATGTTAGGCGAAATAATGGACTGCAAAATTAATGGTAGATGAAATAAGTGATGGGTCAAATCAGGCAAAACTTGTTGAAAAACGCAGCTGGTAAATGAGATAAAAAAACTCACCTTTAATTCATGAGACTATTTCTAATTTAGCCTATCTGTTAGGCGAAATACATGTAGATGTCAGATTTTTTAAATATAGCCTATCTGCTAGGCGAAATACATAAAAAATCAATATAAACGAATCCAAACACACGGCCAAACTCGCGTAAGTTCGAACTTTGACATAAAAATTTGCATCCATCTTGTATCTCTGCATTAGTGACTACCTTTCCAGAAAAATTTCCATCGCAAGCAAAAATGGCTGGATCATCAGATGATGTTTGCCAACTGTCCATTTTTTGGGGTGGTCAAATTTGTCACAATTCCACAACAGCGGAAATGTACTACACATTGCCTCCACAAGTCATTATTCCCGTGGGTGTTGCTGGATCACTACCTTTTGTTGTCGATTTCATACGCCACCAAATGGGAATTTCTTCCGGAGTTCCGTTGGAACTTACTGGAAGATTCTTATACGAAAGTCCCCATGGTGTCCTACATATGGCATATCGTATATACAGTCCAGATCAGTGGGATTACTTTGTAATGCAAACACATCGCGTAGGTGAGGTCCACGTGTATGCTGCCCCAGAATTGACAAACCAGGGCGGTCAGTTTCAAACGCAACAGCCATGCACAGAATTTTTGACTGACATTGCTCCACCATCCGCAGACTTGGGTGGTTATGACCAATATCAGGATTTTTCTCAGCAGGAAAATCAATTTCAATCCCTGACAATTAATGCAGGTGAAGCCTCCGGTAGCGGCGTATTACCAGGAAACGATGAGACAATCGGTTCTCCCGAAACAAGCGAACCAGAACGAATAGTCTCCGCCCCATCGGAAGCCGAAGGAGATCAAAACACCGCCGAGGAGGTGCTTAATTTCCCACCTGAATTACTCCGACCCCGAACGAGGCGAGGAAACACGGTGGACGATTCCCAGATTCCATTCTACCACGCCCCGGTATCTTATATGGAGGACGAGGACGAACCAACTCCGTCCTACGACAATGTCGCACATACGATACAGGAAGGAATGGTATTCGAAAACTTTGAAGATTTAAAGAATGTTGTCTTTATTTTCACATCTTCGAGCGCAAAAATTTCTGCTCCAGTTACAAAAAAACCAGTTCTTGGCGAGTGGTTTGTGCAACAACTGGGCCCTTACAAACGCCGTGCGATTGGTCACTCTCAGCGGCTAAATTGAAGGGAACAACAACCCTATGGAAAATCAAGAAGGTGCCGACGAAACATACATGCCAAAATGTTTTCACTCAAGGAGGAATCGACAGGGTGTGCGGTAGTGATTTAATTGCTGCTTTGGTCGCACGTAAGATCCGTGATGACCCACAGTACAAAGTGACACACATTCGAACCGATGTAAAAAAATGAGTACGGGTTAGATGTGAGTTACAGGAAAGCGTGGTACGCTAGGCAAAAATGCATTGAGGCTGAGTACGGCAAATTTGCTGACTCGTACAACGAGCTACCAAGTTTCCTCATGTCTGTGAAGGCAACAAACCCCGGCACCATAATCGATTTTGATTTCACACCATCTCCTCCATCTCCAAGTGGCGAAAGCGCGTACGTTCATTTCAAGTATGCGTTTTGGGCTTTTGAACCAGCGATAGACGGCTTCCGGTATTGCTTCCCAGTTATTGGTGTGGATGGTACACACCTGTATGGAAAATACAAAGGCCACCTCCTATTAGCGGTCGGGACGAACGCTAACAATGAAATCTTTCCACTGGCCTATTCCGTTGTGGATGCTGAAACCGCAGCCAGCTGGAGTTGGTTTTTGGAACGACTGGCATCAAATATCTTTCCCGATCATGAGTCCATGTGCATCGTTTCCGATCGCCATCCTGGGATCGACGTGGCGTTTCGGGAATTGACGGTCTTACAACCTCCGCGTGTCCAACGCCGCTTTTGTCTCAGACACGTTCGTAGCAATGTGATGACGAAGTCGGCGAGGAACCCTGAATTAAGATCATTAATTTGGGAAGCTGGAACTGCAGCCACGAATCGCAAGTTTCGGGCCACGATGGATAGAATCAGGGCGACTTGGCCAGAAGCGTACAATTACCTAGACGCAATCGACGTGGAGAAGTGGACATTGTTGCACGATGGTGGGCATCGGTATGGGGCAATGACAACCAATGGATCAGAATCGTTCAACAATTCGTTGAAGGGTTGTCGTTTGCTGCCAGTGACTGAACTAGCGAGGCTCACCTTTCACAAGATAAGGGTAATTTTTGCGGACAGGCGAACAGCAGGTCCGCGGATGCAGGAGAAAGTGTTGCGTTGGCCGAACAAAATTACTAAGCAGTTGACAAAACTAGAGTCCATCGCGTACAATGCCACCATAGAAAGATATAACGACTCCATGGGCTTGTACGGGGTCGCTCTACAAAGGCAACACGCAACGCAACGGCAACCGCGATTTTTTAGAGTCTGCTTGGCAGAACCCTCCTGCGAATGTGGCCATTGGAACCGCAGCACCCTGCCATGTGCACATATCATTGCTGCCTGTCAATTTCAAAGGGTTACCTACGACTCATTCGTGTCAAATGTTTACTCATTACAGCACTACATAATGAGTTATGCAGGTAATTTTAATCCACCTACCTATGAAATTGATAGGAGTAGTGATGTTACAATACTTCCACCAGTATCTGCTAGGCGAGATTCGCGTCCTGGTCAAAGACAAACTCGTCGCCACCCTATGGAAATGGACCATGGTCATTCAAGATCAACGCCACGATGTCAGTATTGTCGCGCTAGGACACATTCTTCTACCTAATGCCCAAGCTTTATTTCACGGTCGTAGTGCCATTGTAAATTTAAACTCATTGTAAATGAAAAAACAAATTCTTTCAACTTTCTATGTTAACATATTTTTGTTTACAACTTTTACATCCATTTCACCGCATTCTTTTATTTTCGCTTGCAA